ATAGAGAAAAGAGGAGGTCAGAAGGCCACTACTTGTTGTGCAATGTATAACATCCATTAAGTGGCTAATTTGCAGGAAGGGCTGCTTTTGGAAGTTGCTAGGTATCAATGTCCTGCCTTTACCAGGACATCAATGTCCTGCCTTCACCCTGTTCATCCAGTGGGTAATCTGAAGACTTACTAGCACTGGCTTGCCTTTAGCTGGCCAGCTGCCCTGTGACCTGATACCCTGCTGGGTGACTGGCACGAGTGGAGCTGTCGATTAAGTCAGAACTTTCTCATGTGATTGAATTTACTTCATCATGTGGTTGAATTTATTTCATCGCACAGTTAGTGGGTCTATTCCTATATGGGCTTCTGAATGAGATCTAAATACACCAGCAAGGAAATGGTGAAGCCATTCATTGTTTTTCTGTACTTACTAACTTTTTTATTTCAGCAGCTGCCTTTGTACTTGTAGCTAATACCATCTTCCAAAGTAATGTTAGCTATGTTGTCAAAGTACTAAACCTAAATGTTAGGTATAACTGATTCAGATGTGTAAACTTGAACAGGTATTTTTATTGTGAAAAACAATTGTTGCTAAATAACTATCTAACAAGGAAAACGTAATTATAAAGAATCTTTTCCATCTCCTGCACTAATTGAATAAACAGAATTCTTCTGTACTACTTTGCAGACATAATCTGTTATTGAATTATTGCATTAACACTGGGTTGCTGTTTTACCTTTGCCCCACTCAGCAGAAGAGCTTTCATACTTTTGAACTAGAAAATCTCAATTATCTTTGTCCTTCTAAGTAGAACTGTGTTCATACAGGACCTTGAGGTTGATGATATTTTAACTACATTAACTTTCCCTTGGCTTGTTGATGAAGGACCTGCCAACCATAAGTGGATAGGACTTGGAAGAAGCCTTCTTTAACAAGTATTCATTAATTCTTGCATAGAAAAGATGTTCATAAATTCTGTTTACATGTAGGATCATCAGCAGATTCTTCCACCCACTTCTAAGAGTTCAGTTCTGGCTTGAAAAGGTCAAGCAACAGCTACTTTAGCAGGTAAACTGTGCAGACTTTTTTGTTGTTGTTGTGTGTTGGTTGGCTTTTGACATTTTTAGTTGCTATGGCATCTACTCAAAATAGGATTTTTAAAACTGCAGTTGATTCCCTGTGATAAAACTGTGGGGATCTTTATCTTTGAACAATAAACTGCAGGTGACATTTGGGGTTCTGGGGTTCTCGCTGTGGAACAACTTTTTAAAGTCAAGTCCTCAAAACCCTTTGTTCTTACTTAGGCCATTGGGGTATCTTACAAGACTCAGAAACTGCAGAGTGTAAATACTTTGCTGTGTTTGTTTCTTCAGCTGATGTCACCTGAAATAGAAATACTGCTGAAGCCATTGTATTTCCATTTGATGAACGCTACTCCTGGTATCATAGTAGCAATTCTAGGTAAGGCACGAGTATGAATTACGCAGGAAGAAACACTTCCTCTGTTTCTAGCAAATCCGTAATTTCATAGCAAAATTTTAAGATTTTTAAAAAATATTTTTATTCCCAAATTTTTATGGAATTTTCTCCAGTGGTTGCACCATAAAGTCATATTAATGTGGGTTTTCACTACACCAGGAACAGCAGCTGCAGTGAATATAGAAGGAAGAAAAAAAATCCTTTGTTATTAACTGCTATTTGGATGATAGAGACAAGGACTTATCTTTAATCTCAGAGCATTGGCCTTAACTACCTGGTGCAGAGCTCTCTGAAGGGAGCAGAAGCTTTCCGTCAGCTTCATGGGCCCATGGGAATAGCTGGAGGAATGAACTGCTTGACTGAGCAAGTTGACAGATGATAGATAGCTCGGGGGCCTGGAAAGCACGTCTGTCAAGTTTCTCGCACCGTGTAAGACTCACTCTGCTACGTGACATTTCCCCTCCTCAGGATCATCTCTATCACACGTGCCAATGCTACAGAGGTCAGAAACAAGCCATGCAACCAGGTGTACAACCTTGACATCTAGTGTGGAGCGCCAGTTAGCATGGAGTGTCAGTCTCGTACACTGTCACCTAAGTCAAAAGCAAAAAGCCCACAGCTACTGTCCATTTTATTTCAAATGGACTTCATTCTTCTCCCACTGAAACCCTTAACAATCTTGCCAGCAGGTTTACCTGGCCAAGGCCTTAAAATCAGAGGAAACAAAAATGAGGGCTTGCACCTTGACGTGGCCTGGCTTGCTGCCTTGTAATGAGAGCTCTCCTTTGTGTTGACCTAATGGTGATCCCACTAAAAACTAACGAGTTGATGAACTACCGCTACATCATGATGAAGAGGTCTCTTCAAATATAAGTCCAAACATCTCCTTTCGAGTCCTTTGTGGAAGGTGGTATGTTTTCCACAGCAGAGTGTTTGCCTACAGAGCTTTCCTCTCGCAGTGACTGAGCGCCAGTTCAGGTCAAATGGGCTCAGGCTTCAGAGTGATGGAGATGTTAAGTCAAAATAAAGGAGAATGTTGACAAAACATCAATTTTTAGTCAGGGTTCTCCACTGAAAAAAATAGATTAAAAAACTCTACTTAAGAATTGACTGCAAAGCTAACTTTTTTTTTTTTAAACTCGGAAGCAGCCCTGGCTTTCTGTATCACTTCTGGCCACCTCCGATAGAGCACTCACACTTGTGAGGGAAAGGTATACTCATTGTTCCTATCTTCTTTAGAGCAGGTCAGAAGGGTGGATGTGGTTTGCGATAGAATTCTTTGCAATATTCTTCAAGCAAGATATTGTTGCATTTTTACCCGAACATGCATTTATGTTTTAGGCTGAAGAAGCAAGAACTGAAATTGGTAAGGGGGTGAGGGAGGAGAAGAAAGATATGGGTCCTACTGCATGATCCTGGTTCTTTGCAGTATTATTGGATTAATTAATTTCCTTATCAAACAGAACATATTTTGTACTACAAATTTCTACCAAATTTTCTATTGCTAAAAGACTACAGGAGGATTTCAGGACGATTTGAAATTACTCAGTTGTTGCTTTGACTAACTACTGAGTTGATCAAACGTTTCCAGAGGTGAATCTTTTGATAAAATCTTGACATTTTAAATTTTGAGCAATTTTTTCCAGCATCCATGCAGGCTTCTAGTGTGGGGATTGTCCACTGCTTACCTTTATAATCAGGCAACTGGACTTTCGTCTTACACACTTAGGGCTTGTCATGATAGGCTTCGCAGCAACTATGCCTTTCCCTCTGAGGTGCAGCATGCAGAGAGAACTAATGGCACTTACTTAATCCACGGTCATCTTGGTCAAAGAAGAAAGAGGCCAAACTACCATATTCACTAAAAATAGCCAAATACTAAAAAGTAACAGACAGAGGAATAGGGTAGATTAAATTAAAAAATAAATGCAGTTATCCAAAGTGTTGCAGTACTGGAAAGAGATTTTAGAAAACATTAAGGTTATATTAGGCCTGTCCTTTAAGGATAGAAACATATAAGGCAGATGTGATTGATTGTTTCTATCAAACCATTACATTTAGAAAGATTTTGTTAATATGTTTGCAATGTCTTGAAAGGAACAGCCAAGACTGTTTAACTAGAATTGTGGAAATACATCGCTTCGCCCTTTAGCGGTGTACTCAGTAGGAGTTAACTCCCAGGGGGACTTGTCCTCGTCTCTGTCAATGAGTACTTTTCTCAAGTGAAAAAAAAAAATCAATTCTGTAATTAATCCAAAAGATTTCCATGTTTGTCTTGGGAGTAACAATAAAGAGTGGGCAAAGAAAATCATCTCCATCTGGAAGAGAGGAAGTAATGATGGTTTTCATGCTGAAGGAGTACCTCTGCTTTTCACGGAAACCCCTGTCGGATCCCAGGCAGAAAGGAGGATCCCTGTGCTAGTTATTTTGCGGACAGAAATTTTTCTGCAAAGCTCTGCCAGTTGGAATAAGGCACAGAAACACCAAGCTTTTGTACAGATAACAAGGGCACACGCTGCTTTTCAGAGAGTCAGAGGTTTGTTTTCTTGCCACAGTGCTGTGTAGTGTGTTGACCATCACCACCCCTGGAGCTGGTAGCGTTTCACTCACCCCAGCATGGCACACGTATTGTTTCTTCCACCTGTTGCACCCTGTCAGTACACTCTTTGCGGTCCTACAATATCTGGCACTATCAGTGATACTGTCATTTTCACTGAAATCCTAAAAAATAATCTGTTCTGCGGTTCGTGGCATCCCTCAGCCTGAGCTGCACTCTGTAAATGAATGCAACGCTTGTAACCACCAGTGATAAGCAGATGTTAGGTCACTGCTCATCTCTCTCATTAAGGCAATTAGTGACCTGTAGAAGATGATCAGTCAGGGATTTTATCCATCTCGACATCAGGGTCTGGTTGCCTGCTCCGAAGGATGCTGTTTATAGTCCAGTTCATAATTTCTCCCTTTCCCGCTCATCATTATTATTATCCAAAGTGCCTTTTTGCTTCTGTTAGCAAAACCAGAATCCCCCATGCCCCAGTTTTAGCAACTAATGTCCACAATAGGGGCAACTGATCCAGCGCAGGAGTTAAATATAACCGTGTCTAGTGTAAGGAGAAGATTTAATGGGAAATGTGTTTATAGTCCAGTTCATAATTTCTCCCTTTCCCGCTCATCATTATTATTATCCAAAGTGCCTTTTTGCTTCTGTTAGCAAAACCAGAATCCCCCATGCCCCAGTTTTAGCAACTAATGTCCACAATAGGGGCAACTGATCCAGCGCAGGAGTTAAATATAACCGTGTCTAGTGTAAGGAGAAGATTTAATGGGAAATGGTTAGCATTCTTTCTTCCTAAAGGCACGGGGCGGGCGGGGGGGGGGGAAGAGACGTACACACACAGACACACACACGCATCCCACAGTGAGAGCGAGGAAGAGAGCAGGCAAGGCAGAGAGGGAGCAAGGGGAGGGAGAGAGAGATCCCCAAAGCAGCCCTGCGCCTCTGAGCTGGAATCTGCCAGGGTGCAGCCAGCATGTTGGTCCTCAGCCCGCTTGTCTGGGGATCTTACCTGCAGCTTTTCCTCTGCTTTGCTTTATCTCAGACTGCGTACGTTGACAATGTCTTCTCAGTTTCAGCAGGTAATTGCTTTAAGTCTTGTTACTTTTCCTTGCTTGGAGCTCTCCTCTGCGCTCTGATTCTTGCACTTTCCGGTGATTGGGAACACAGGACCAAAAAAAATAATACTTCAATAGCAGATCTCGGTGGAGGAATTTTGCGTTGCAGACCTGTTCTGCCACATGCCGGGACATTTTTATTGCTTGGTTGGTTTTGCTTTTTGCTTTATTATTTCTGCTTTTAAACCACTCCCTTCTCTTCCCCGGGAGAAATAATAGACAAGGTCCTCAGCTGCTCTAAAATGCTTTTTTTCCATTGGCTTCTATGGTGCTGTGCTAATTCATGGATCTGGCCCAATTAGTATATTACTTGCACGTCTGCATGTTTCTTTCTATTTTGGATGAGCTTAGGTAGATTACAGCACGGGAAAGAAAATGAATCTCAATGTATATCTGCTTCTATAAATAAAGCCCTGACCTCAATGAGCGCTGCCAGAGTCCGGCTGGATGTTAGCAGAATAAACATCATCTGGCTCCGGCTATGACACTAACAAATACCCAGATGACTTACATAGCAAACAGGAGTCCACTGCATGGAAAATCCCTGCTAGGCAAAGGCAAAACAAATTAGTTGTCAGCTGAGCCAGGGCACTGGAAATCCCACTTAATAGATTTTACAGTTTGATCAGCGAGACTTTCCGTTAGCCACGTTCTGTGCAAAGGAAGGGGAAAGTTGACGCGAGCTCTGACTCCATCTCTCCTTTGAGGAACTTTCACCAGTTTATGGCAAATTACTGTCTACCACCTTCTGTCTGTTATTCTGCATCTGTCAATAGAGATGCTTCTAACTAACATCCTGGATTCCTTCAGGGTAAATTTGAGATGGTTCAACTGAGATTTGTAGGTCAAGGTCAGCTATACCTACAGATCCTCCCCGTGTCTTTCACATGAAGACAGTGACCAAAAGGGTGCACATTTTAAGACTGTACAGAAAATCAACCTTAGACATGAATCTAAAGACACATGGCCTTTCTCTCTCTTTCTAGTGTCTCTGGTGTGACTGCAGAGCCAGATGGTTTACATTCAAGGCATTTATGAGAGAAGGGTGATCAGGAGGGTAGCTTGTATGAGATGATAGGTTTCTGCACTAAAAAACTGTAACAGTATGCATGATTTCTTCTAAGGGTTTTTTAAAAATCTTTTAAAATGTGCAGAGCTGTATTTCACTCCCAATGGTTTGAACAGTCCATTCATTTAAAGATACTCAAATAATAAGAATCTGGGGACCACAAGAGCAATGCAGATAGCCTTTGGGGAAAAGTCCTGTAGCATTTAATAACGCAGCCATTAGAGTTCTGTTGTCATTTCGGATAGTTTTTAAGATAACATCTAGAGAAACCTAACGTTCAAAGAAGTACATCCTTTGAAAAACAATTTAATCCATTCTTTCGAACCTTTAATAATTTTTTTCTGCTAAACTCTATAGGATGCTAAAAAGCATTTACATTTGTTGTAATTTCTGTTCAATTGGGTATGCTTTTTCCATGATGTTGAGATTAGTTAATGCTGAGGTACAGGAATCATCAAGATTTATTTTCTCTGATATATTCCAAATTACTTTGCAATAACATGCAAGTTTTTAGACCTCAAAAATTTACTACTTTGAAAAGCTTTACATTTATTTGACGCTTGTAGATGCCACCCAGACAAACAAGAATTTCACATTTCCATCGCCTGCATGGCCTGGCCTTTCTCCTGTGACACACACTTGTGCGTCTAGAGAAGCCATTTAAACTGTTCTCTTACAAAATAACAGTTCAACAAAAAAGTCCTTTCTCTTCTGAGGGGGAAGTTCCCATTTCTGCTGAAAACGTAGTAGAAGAGGCAAATATGAAGGAAAACGCATAGTCTATTACTGTCCACACGGGTGCTTTGGGGCAGAAGGGTACTTGTATCTCATCAGCAATTCAGCTATGTTAACAAGGAGCTATGAACACCATTTGAATCCCTAATTCTGCACCAGTGAGAAAGCTGAGATAGAATAACAATAATTGCACAGCAATAAAAATATTTTACAGCAGCAGTGCCACACGTACAGGTTTAATGTTAAGGAGGGTATAGTGTCAAAGTAGAAAGAGCACTTGGGGATGGCAGGCTAATCTTCCACCCAAATACCATGTCATGAAACAGTAAGCTATGCCTACAGCCCTTGAAACTGGCTGTTGATAGCAGCAGGTGCCGCCTGGTTGCTCTTAGGGCCAGACTCCACTCTTTGCACTAGAATATTTTCCATGGTGCAGCCCCTGGGGCTTGCCCACGAGAGACTCCAGGGCTTCCCAGGCAGTGACTGCAGCCGAGCGTGGTCCCTTCCTCCTCCATCCCCGCAGGCCGACAGCTTCTGGTTTCAGGCTCGGAGAAGGTGTGAACCCGATCAGGAAATCGGATTCCCAGTGTGGCAGCTCAGGCAAATTGCCACCCCACGCACGGCTCTACAGTAAAGCCCCGCACCGTGCTCTTCTGGCCAAGCCACTGAAAATTACCTTTATTCCCAGCAAGCTCTTAGCACAGCTTTTATCACAAATGTATTGTAAATGTTTACTTGATAATATGTGGAAAAAAAATCTGGTGGATGATCCAGTCATAATCCCACAACCACAGGGATGGATTAAAAGCCATACTTTGGGGAGCTGTTACATACCTGTGTGCCATTATTGCTTGCTAATCGGGGTTATTTAGTATGAAAAATGACATAATTAAAAAAAAATCCTTTAGTGCTTTGATTGCATCTGCATTTTAAGAAACATCTCCTAAGAAAAAAGCAAAAAGTTCTCTATTTTCTGGTAGAAATCTCGCAGTGGGTACAGAAGGTAAATTAATTCCATTTAAATTCTTGGTTATTTTAATGGTTTCTCAAATGTTCTGTGGCTGTCAGCTGAGTCAATTATTTGTATCTGGCACCAAGATGTAATTTCCCATTTAAAGAATGTATTTGAGCACTGTACTTGCAAATTCTAAAACTAATCACATTTAACAGTGAGGATGTTCTTAAGTGACAACTTGTCTTTCCTGTAGTTGGGAGAACACATTTGGGTATTTTCCAGGTATGTCTGAAAACTTCTGGGCTAAAAGTGCTTTTATTTCTGTCCTCACACATCTTTGCATAGCAACAGGTCATAAATAAAAAGGTTTACAGGTCACGAAGCTAGTAACTAGAAAGCAGAGATAAACAACCAGTAGGGGGGAAAAGTGTTTGTAGAATAATTGAGGAAAGAATAATCTGGATCTTTGTCTGTTTTGCTGCCAACTCCACCTTATAGTCCCATCAGCCTCAAGCGCATCCTTGTTTCTGGAAGTATTTTGCATGTCATGTCAGCTCCAAAGAGTTGAGTCTCCTGGTGCTGAAGCATCATTTCTGGAGGAAATGCTTCAGGGAGTAATATTACAACACACTCAATCGTGTGGCTGTGGTTCCACGTGGCAGTGAAGACCCCTGAGGTGGGTAGCTCAACCCTCCTGGAGACAGCAGGTTTCTTTTCAGGGTAACCTGTCGTATCCCACCCTTATGCCACTGTGTTTATGGTGTCCTTTATAACCATTTTTCAGAGCTCTGCTCTACTGAGGTTCCTGCACTGTGCGCTTGAGGAGGTTGCACTCACATGATGAAAACTAGGCGTGAGTTTTATACTCATTTTTAGTAGGGTTACCTGAACCAGTCTGCACCTTGTAAGAACCAGCCTGAAGGAAGCCACCTTCCAAATTCAGGTAGTAGAAAGACTCTCTTCTTCTCCCCCTCATTCCTTCTCCTCCCCTATTCTACTCATCCAGGCCGAAGGTTTCTGAGGTTTTGCAGAGAGATGGGAAAGTATTTAAATTACCAGCAACAGCCAGAGAAGAAGAACAGTATCTCGATGCTTCTTCTGACCCAAACTGCCTTTTACGCATGCCACAAATGTATCCCTTGATTGAATTGTGTCCTACGATCAATATTGATACACAGCCCTATAAAAAGAATATGGTTGATTAATTTAAAGGAATGAAATGGGATGGTAACATTAGAGCACTATTGGCAGTATTCTTCATGCTTTCTTTGCCTTTTTCCCATTATTTTCCCAAAGAAAAGGAACATCACATCTCACTGGGTGGGTGGCACAGCCTCTTTGAATTGGGAAGGTGTAATATTAACCCACAACCAGACCTCGTGTGGGATAGCTGCAGAAAACAGTTCAGCTTTCTCATGGACCAGCACTGTTGGAGCAGTAAGAGCCGCAGTGAAGGGCAAGGCGGGTTGGGAACAGGAGCTGTGCAGGGTGACTGCCTTGGCTGGGCGGCACAGAGAGGGAACTTTGGTACCCCCTGCGTTGCTGCAACTTGGGGGAGAGGGCATTGTGCATTTGTGAGAGATACAGAGGGAAAGAGAAAACACAAAAGGAAGTGGTGATTCCTGACATTGGGGGAGTTGGGATCCTGGCTGCCTTTCTGTAAAAGGAATATCTGACCCCATCATCGGGTTTGTTTTTTTTTCCTCTAATGAAGCAACCTGCAGGAACCCTAAATATTGTCAAAATGGACAGCAGAGATGTCAGGTGGATGTTTTTTGTTTCTAAGGAGAGCAATTGTAAATACTTATTTATGTAAAATCACAAGGGAAAAAATGATCAGAGTGCTTGCAGGAGTAAGAAAGACGCAGAAGGAATTTAAAATAAGACCAACAGTAAAAGCTGGAAGACTCTCAAAGGCAGCAGCCAGATACTACTGGGAAAACAGCCCGAAGGGTGACTAGCAAGCAGAGGTGAATCTTTGAGGGGCAAAAATACCAGTCCAGGGAAGGAAGCCTGGCTCTGCTCTGGAAAGTCAGCATGGGCCTAGGAGGTGCCCAGCATCCTGATGCTGTTGGTCAAGGGGTTTCTCATGGAACACACACAAGCAGGAAAGCTTTGGTTAGATTAAAATTCCTGATGGAAGTGAGCCACTGGCAAAGGCTACAGCTTCACTAGGAGAAGGAAAGCAAAGTATCATTGGCCATA